CAGGGAGCCCGATGCGGGACTCGATCCCAGGACTCTGGGATCATGACCTGAGCTGAAGGCAGACGCTTAACCGACTGAGCCACCCAGGCGTCCCTATGATGTTGTTTATTTCACAAAAGTTACAGTAATTCAAATACTTTATCGTAGTGCATGGCCCTGCTGCCCCTACTGAGAATTGGCTTTGTTTTCTGGGTATGCTTGTGAGCAGGCAGAACATGCCATCTCTATTCTAGAAGGTAGTTCGGTCAACATCTCTACTTGTTTCTCATGGTGGGAAATAGGGCATAGATAATGTCTCAACCATTTCTAGAACTCGCATGCCAGTGTTCACCCATGCACACTTATGTCTGCTCTGATGCCAACAAACACCTGTTCGTTGTTTCCTGCACATGCTGTGTGCTCTCTGGATGTGTGTCTTCCTCCTTCCACTCGGTCATTCCAGTTACCCACCCTCTTCTGAATTTCTACATTATCTGTATTATTCATTTGTCAATGCAGGCTGTCCTCTCAACCAGACTGTAAAGTGTTTTCAGAGACAAAGAGCATACTTTTGAAACCTAAGTTTTCAGGGTGCCCCGCACAGCAAACTATTCAAACAGTAAGTATTATTTCACAAGTAACAGAAACAGGATTTTGAAACTTTGGAACAGAACATTTAGAGCAAACATACCTTTTTATGAGGAATTAATTCCAAAGAAGCTTGATACACCTGTCTCGTCCTCTCAGGATCCTGTATTAGGATAAGAAATTTTCACCGACTATTGGAAGTCTGTTACTAATGTTAGTTTTGCTAGCACTAGTAAAAACGTACACCCCCACCCAGAGTGTTTTCACAGGGTGCTATTCTCAAACCCTGATTTCATCATTTATGATCAAATGTGAACTACCTGTGGCCCTCAAACTTTGGTTAAAGAATCACCGAGATAACCATCAATCTTTGAGAGCTTGTCTGTGGAAAGGCTTTTCGCCTGATAGCAGAAAGAGATGTTTTATAGTCTCAGATCAACAGCACAAAGCTAGTCTCTCCCAATTAATTTATACACACCTGATTTCTGAAAATCCCACTTGATCTTTTACTAGAAGCAAAGACGTGTCATCTAGCTGTGATCCCTATTTAGGAGGCAGCCCAGAAAATGATATAAAATAAGCTAAAGACTGCTTCATTGTTCCCTTCCAAGTTCCAAGTGATAATGTGGTGCCTCAGGTTTGAAACACAAAATGCAACAAAACCAAAACACCTCACCTGGGCCCACGACAGGTATACAGAGTTTAAAAGGCTGCAGAGAGACTATGTAACTGTATGGCTGAGAATTTAAAACGAGATTCCTGTTTCCAGGATTGTACATGTCAGTACCCACCGCTAGCCACGATGGCCGAGGTGTATGCACAGGGGTGAGGCAGCCAGGGAGGGGGCAGCTATCAACAGCCGAGGCATAATTCCATTTTTTACCTTGGCCTCCAATTCTTCATAGAGTGCATAGTTGACCCACAGATAGATGTAGCGCTTCCAGTGCCGCTTCTCTTGAATGGGTGGCACATTGGCAATGGCTCTTTCATAGACTTCTCGAACGGTTTCTGCTTCTGCATCACTTTCCACCAAGCGCAAATAATCAAACCACGCATCGTAATTGTGTGGATTAGCCTAGAAAGACCACAAGTTTAATGAATAAAAACCAAACCAAGAGCTATACTTGCTGGACTCTGTGAGGTTAAAAAAAGACACTAGATTGACTTCCTGTATTTTAGCAACTGTTTAGCACCTATCTCATTTAAAAATACCATTCCTGGGGCACCTGGGTGGCTCAGTCGGTTAAGTGTCTGCCTTCAGCTCAGGTCATGATCTCAGGGTCCTGGGATGAGTCCTGCATCGGACTCCCTGGTCAGCAGGGAGTCTGCTTCTCCCTCTGCCCCCACTCATGTTCACACTCTCTCTCAAATAAATAAAATCTTAAAAAAATACTATTCCTGAGATTTCATAAATAGGAAAGAAAAAGGAACATAGGGGACAGATTATTTGCCAGGTGTCCCACAGCAAGGCTGCTTTCATATACAACCACCACCCCCTAAGATAATTACTCAATAATTAGACACCTACTTTTATAAATGTATTTGTTTATATACCTGACTGCGTATCATTATGTCTAGATTTAAAATTACAGTGGATGATGGGCATTGAGGGCACATGATGTGACATCGCAACTAATGCATCATTGAACATTACATCAAAAACTAATGATGTATTACATGAAAAACTAATGATGTATTATTACATGTTGCCTAATTGAATTTAAATTAAAAAAAGAAAAAATTAAAAAAATAATAAAATAAAATTACAGTGCAATCAGAACCATGGTCACAAATGTGAAACCTGCCTTCTCAATTAATAGTCATTTATCTTGAATATATCTTGCTGACTTCATTTAACACCAGACTCAGTCCTTTAGTGATATCCTAATTCATCTGACTCAGCAAAAGTTTTTAGATGCACAGCAGACCAGTAAAGGAAAATGTTACTATCTTTGAACTCAAATCAAAACAATACATTACAAATAAAGAGATGAGAATGAAAACATATCTACAATATATGTTTTGTTCAAGCAGTTAAGCTAAACGGTAGTGTAGAAAAACTGGCTCAATCTCTGCCTCTTCCATCTTTTTTTTTTTTTTAAATGTTTTTTTTTATTTATTTATTCATGAAAGTCAGAGAGAGAGAGAGAGGCAGAGGAAGAGGGAGAAGCAGGCTCCCCGCCTAGCAGGGAGCCCGATGTGGGACTCGATCCCAGAACCCTGGGATCATGACCTGAGCCGAAGGCAGATGCTTAACCATCTGAGCCACCCAGGCGCCCCACTGCCTCTTCCATCTTCAGAAAGGAGTTCACATGGATTCCTGGTTTTTTGCTCAAGTTCTACGGCGCACCAGCAGCAACCAACACGGTGACTTTCAACATGTGGGTGGCAGAGCAAACCCAAGTGCTTCTTGCTGCCCTCTCCTATGAGCCCTGCAGATTGCTGCTGGAATGGCTGCCAATCACCGCAGACGCGTCAGCAAGTGCGTGATCCCTGGAAGCCCCCGCCTGCTATTCTTCACTTCACCTGAGCTGCTGCTGGTCGGCACATCTCTGTCACCCGCAGGGTTCGGCGTCCACACCAGCACTCACCTTCACCTCTTCCTCATACTGGAATCTTCGTTTGCTCACAATGATGTCTTCAATACCCCGTCGATCACCGAACTTCTTCTCAAAGATGGTATAGTTTTTAAAGAGTTCTTGGGCCTCCTGCTTTGAAATTCTATCCAGGGCATACTTGTAGATCACTCGTACCCTTTCAAACTAAAAGCAGACAGGAGGATTACTTCTACAACACAATACTCTCACGTGAGCCACAACGTGGAAGGTAATTATGACGTCATATACTACTCCAAAGTAAGACTTTTCTTCTCCCCCTTGTTGAGGTATTTGTCAGGGTGTACTGACACTCTCCTTTGAGCTCCATACTTAATAGTGTCTACCTGACTCTGCCAGTTGGGTGTCATCTGTGCATCTCAGACTAAACAGGCCCAGAACTGACCTCCTGTTCCTCACCATCAAACCTGGGTCTGTCTTCCCGGTCTTGGTAAGCAACACCTACCGCCACGCCCTTGCTCAAGCCCCAAACTCCAGGAGTTCTCCTTGATTCCTCTCCTGTCCTCATCCCCCACCTTCACTACTTCAAAGAGCCCTGCCATTTTTGTTTTCCAAGTTTATTACCCATAAAACCCTTTAATGAGGAGAGCAAATGACGAACTCTCAGTTTACACACAATATTCTATATATATATCTATAAAGGCTTAATTTTCAAGCAAAGCACAACACAATTAGGACACTTTAGTACAATCTATAATCACTCAGTGCCCAGTCTGCAGCTAAGACACAAATGTATGCTGTTTTCTTTGAGAGATTTTGGAAACATTTTTTCCAAGGATAAGTGAATAGAAAATGGAATGAACTCAACGTGCACAACAAGTAATCTTTCCTAAGCTGTTATGCAATGTAAATGAGTTCTTCAAGTGTACTTACTTCTTTTTGATTTTCTTCAAATTTGGCAAAGGCAACATAAAGGTGTTCATCCATATGCTCATCTCCAAAGAATTCAACAGCTCTCTCGTACACTTTCCGTGCGTGGGCAAAATAACCATGTTTTTCTTCAAAGCGGGCATACTTGATCCAGTTCTTAACATCAGGGTGCACGAGGACAAGTTCACAGGAATTAAGGAAATATCCCGCCAGACAACAAGGCTTAAAAAAAAACAAACAAAAAACAAACCCAACCCCCCAACAACACAAACTATGACTATAAGGTTGATAAAACACGTGCAAAGGCGAAGAACCACTAAACTGTGACCTCTGAAGGGGGCCTCATCTTGTTCCTCTGTCTTCCTCCAGGGCTTACTCAGTACTTCCATAGTGGGTACAAATGGGAGTTTGGAGAAATGAAGAAGCTGAAGCCTGTTATTAACCATGCCATCCTGCATGGTTTAACTTGTCTAGGACTCAGTTTTGTCATCTGTAAATACAGAAGAAGAACCTGAACCCAACCACAGTGGCTTGAAAGAAGGAAATGTGTGTAAAGCTCTTAGCAGTTTGGGGCCAAAGGAATGTGCTCAATAAATGGCACCTACGTATTATATGCTCAATAACATTAGTATTGGAATTAACGATTAAGAAAAAAAATGTTACAAAAACAAAACTGCTAACTAGAGGCAGAAGAAAAAGGTTTTTTTAGGGTTTTTCTCTTTTTATTGAAATATAGTTGACATTGAAAAAAGTTTTGAATTACCATTTTATTTCTTAACAAATGAAATCTATTTTTCATCTACCTCACTTGGGAAACTCATTAATTCCAAAGTAGTAATACGTTCAAAAATGGCAATGAAATTAAGGGCATAGGCTCTGAAGCTGCAGCTGGTTCAAGGCCCATCTCCGTCACTCCTGGAGAGACCCCGACCACGCTGCCTGTCAGCTGTGCCTGCATCTCACACCCCACAGACTGGAGTAGTTCTCGCACTGCAGGGCTGTCCAAGGATTAAGTGTTGATATTTGTAAAGTGCTTACAATAATGCCTGACATGAAATAAGCGCTATAAAAGCTTCTGTTAAACTAATCATATTAAAACAGGGCAGAGGTCATAGAGACCTTAAAACTGTATAATAAAGTTGATGCTTGGGCGCCTAGGTGGCTCAGTTGGTTAAGCAACTGCCTTCGACTCAGGTCATGATCCTGGAGTCCCAGGATCGAGTCTCACATTGGGCTCCCTGCTCAGCAGGGAGTCTGCTTCTCCCTCTGACCCTCTCTCCTCTCATGCTCTCTCTCACTCTCTCAAATAAATAAATAAAATCTTTAAAAAAATAAATAAAGTTGATGCTTGTTTTTCTGGGTAGTTATGTTCTATGAAGTCACTTAATTAGCAAATACCAAATAATTCTCCCTAAGGGAAATAGGTGTATACACACATACACACAGCCCTCATATAGATTACAATCTTAAATCCTGAAAACAACTCCTCTTGGTAGATTCGATTTTGTTTTATAAAGGAATAAATAAGGTTCAGAAGCGTGAAGTGACCTGAGGCCACCCCCCTAACACGTGCCAGAGAAGGGACTCACACCCATCCAACTGGCCCTGGAGCCAGAGCTTGTTGGGCTACACTATGTTGTCCTCCTGTCTCCATCCTTTGGATGGACTCCAGTAGTGGTACTAATGACCAACACCCTAGAAAAACCTAGGAAAAAAACCCCAGACAAACAGGACTGGCTACAGCAACCAAAGCCCTGGTATGTCACTTTCCACAAGGAACGCCAAAATATATACAAACCCAAAGTTTTGCCAAAAAAAGCTCAATTACCCAGACCACAAACTTCTATTTTGACCACACTGTGTCTCTAGAAAATAGTTATGTAGCTCATGAAGCAGATGAAACTTGTATCTTTGACTTCCGGGCCTATGTTGATGAGGATCCGTATGTCCAGACCATGACTCTACTGCCCCGGGCGGAGTAGCACCCTGGACAGTAACAGCACCACTCAGACTCACTCAAAGGATACAGCGTTCAGGGGGAGCATGGAAGATGGCGGAGGAGTAGGGGACCCTATTTCAACTGGTCCCCTGAATTTAGCTGGGTATCTACCGAACCATTCTGAACACCAACGAAATCAGCCTGAGATTTAAGAATATATATCTGGATTTCTACACGCAGAAAATCTCTGGTGGTCTTGAGGTATGAAGGGCAGAGCCGTGATTCTACAGGCAGATATCGAAAGATAAACAGAAGGGGGAAGGAGCCGCCATAAGCTGGTGCCGAGAAGGTGATACAACACCAGAGCGCAAAAGCATCCCACGCTGGGGACCAAAGACTCACAGATCCGTAGTGCCAGGGAAGGACTTTAGTCCAGCCCCCAGACAGGATCTAGGAGCTGCGGGTGCGCAGGGCAGCTCACGGTTTTAGTAGCACAAAGGGCAGAGACATGCCCGGCCTTGGGATCAACCTCTGGGAGAGTTGCTGTGGGGCGCACAACCAGGGAAGCTGAGGTTTTTAGCGGTGCAGATAGAAACAGAGACTGTGTGTCCTGGAGAGCTCAGTGAAGAGCAGACTACGATTTCTCTGCTCTGGGACAGAGGTCTGCGTGCAGTCATTTCTGCTCTCTCGGAAGAGACGCCAAGAGACATGGAAAGCTGCCAGAGAACAAAAGCTTGAAAAACTGGTTTTCGCTGGGCCCACTGCCACTTCCCCCCACACCAACAGGGGGCCAAGCAGGGTTGCCTGAGTAACAGTGTGGCAGGACCCTCCCCCAGAAGACAGGCTGGAAGAACAAGAGGACGACAACCCTAGGGGTCCCTATAAAATAGGTACAACTTACTTGGGTCGTGGTTAATACTTTGGACTCTGTACATTCCCTCAAACATCCCTCAACAGAATGACTTAAGAGGAGGAACCCCCAACAAAGAAAAGAATCAGAGACTGTGGCCTCTGCCACAGATCTAATGGATATGGATATAAGCGAGATGTCAGAAATAGACTTCAGAGTAACAATTACGAAGTTGATACCTAGGCTTGAGAAAAATACTAGCGACAATATAGAATCTCTAAAGGCAGAAATAAGATCTAATCAGGCCGAACTTAAAAATGCTATGAATGAGATGCAGTTTAAACTGGATACTCTGACTGCCAGGGTAAACAAGGCAGAAGAACGAATTAGTGAGCCAGAAGACAAGATGACAGAAAAGAAGGAAACTGAGGAGGCCTGGGAAAAACAGCATAAAGCCCAAGAGATCAGACTGAGAGAGATTAATGACGCCATGAAATGTTCCAATGTTAAAATTATTGGGATCCCTGAGGGGGTGGAGAGAGAGGTCTAGAAGATATATTTGAGGAAATCGTAGCTAAGAACTTCCTTAATCTGGGGAAAGAAACAAGCATTCATGTCCAAGAGGCAGAGAGGACCCCTCCCAAGATCAAGGTGAACAGATCAATGCTCCGACATATAATAGCACAATTCGCAAATCTTAGAACAAAGGAAGCAATCCTGAAAGCAGCTAGATGGAAGAGATTTCTTACTTATGGAGGGAGGAACATCAGAATTAACGTCAGACCAGTCCAGAGGGACCTGGCAAGCCAGAAAGGGCTGGCAAACATATTCAGGGTACTAAATGAGAAGATGCAGCCAAGGATACTTTATCCAGCCAGGCTGTCATTCAGAATGGATGGAGAGACAAAGAGCTTCCAGGACAGGCAGAAACTGAAAGAATATGTGACCACCAAGCTGGCCCTGCAAGAAATATTAAGGGGGGGGGGGGTTCTATAAAAGAAGAAAGATCCCAAGAGTAATATAGACCAGAAATTTACAGATACAATCTATAGAAACAGGGACTTTACAGGCAACATAATGGCACTAAAATCATATCTTTCAATAGTCACTCTCAACATGTACAGCCTAAATGCTCCCATGAAACAGCACAGGATCGCAGACAGGATAAAAAGACAGGACCCATCCATATACTGTCTAAAAGAGACTCATTCTGAACCTAAAGATATATCCAGACTGAAAGTGAGGGGATGGAGAACCATTTTTTCATGCCAATGGACCTCAAAAGAAAGCTGGGGTGGCAATTCTCTTATCAGACAAATTAGATTTCAAGCTAAAGACTGTAGTAAGAGATACAGAGGGACACTATATTGTTCTTAAAGGGTCTATCAACAAGAAGATCTAACAATTATAAATATCTATGCCCCCAACATGGGAGCAGCCAACTACATAAGCCAACCGTTAACCAAAATAAGAATCATATTGATAATAATACTTTAATAGTAGGAGACCTCAACACTCCACTCTCAGCAACAGACAGATCTAAGCAGAAGATCAACAAAGAAACAAGATCTTTGAATGACACATTGGACCAGATGGACTTCATAGATATATACAGAACATTCCACCCTAAAACAACAGAATACTCATTCTTCTCGAATGCACACAGAACTTTCTCCAGAATAGACCACACACTGGGTCACAAATCAGGTCTCAACCAATACCAAAAGACTGAGATTATTCCCTGCATACTTTCAGACCACAGTGCTTTGAAACTGGACCTCAATCACAAGAAAAAATCTGGAAGGAATTCAAACACTTGGAAGCTATCAAGACCTCCTGCTAAAGAATGTTTGGGTCAACCAGGAAATTAAGAGGAACTTAAACAATTCATGGAAACCAATGAGAACGAAAACACATCAGTCTAAAACCTATGGGATACTATAAAGGCAGTCCTAAGGGGGAAATACATATCCATCCAAGCCTCACTCAAAAAAGTAGAAAAATCCCGAATGCACAAGCTAACCTTACACCTAAAGGAACTGGAGAAAGAACAGTAAATAAAACCTAAACCAAGCAGGAGAAGAGAAATAATAAAGATTAGAGCAGAGATCAATGAAGTAGAAACCAGAAATACAGTAGAGCAGATCAATGAAACTAGAAGCTGGTTCTTTGAAAGAATTAATAAGATCGATAAACCTCTGAACAGACTTATCCAAAAGAAAAGAGAAAGGACCCAAATTAATAAAATTATGAATGAAAGGGGAGAGATCACTACTAACACCAAGGAAATAGAAACAATTATTAGAAATTATTATAACTATATGCCAATAAATTAAGTAACCTGGAAGAAATGGATGCCTTCCTGGAAACCTATAAACTACAAAGACTGAAACAGGAAGAAATTGACAATCTGAATACACTGATAACCAGTATTGAAGCAGTAATCAAAAACCTCCCAAAAAATAAGAGTCCAGGGCCAGATGGATTCCCAGGGGAATTCTACCAAACATTTAAAGAAGAAATAATACCTATTCTCCTGAAGCTGTTTAAAAAAATAGAAACACGGGCGCCTGGGTGGCTCAGTCGTTAAGCGTCTGCCTTCAGCTCAGGTCATGATCCCAGGGTCCTGGGATCGAGTCCCACA